GCTGGCCACAGTCACTGCTGTGTGTCCTGGCCTCTGAGTGGCTTTTAGGCACGGTGCTCAAGCAGAAAGCCACAAGCACTCTGTTCTGGACACTGGACTGTTAAGCCTTCTCCGGCAGAGCTGGAAGAGGGACCCTCTGGGATCATGGAGGGACCCATGGGGGTGGGGAATCGAGGACCTCAGGCCCCTGGAAGAGCTGTGGGTCCTGGCCTCTTTGTGGGTTTTTGGTATGGTGCTCAAGCAGAAACAAACCCTGGGCCGCACTCTGTTCTGGACACTGGACCCTTGAGCCTTCTCCATGGTTATGAAATGGATGTCTCAATGGCTTCCTGCCCCTTTCAACATTTCATGCACAGCTTCCTGTGGTGTCTTTACTCAGCAAGTAACAATGCGATTGAGGAAGTCTAGTCTCAGGAGTAAACCTCGAGGCTGCTGCTTCCTGCACTTTTTGGCCCCTGAACAGGTCAATTTGAGGAATCCTGGCCAGGCCTTCTGTGGAGCACCAGCCACTATAGCAGTGAAGCAGAATCAGGGGTGGAGGCTGTAGTGTAGGGGACTGATGGAGCAGCAAGCTGGTCATTAGAGAGGCGGGGAGATTTGGATCTAGCCCGAGGGCAGTCTAGGAAGGAGCGTTGGCGTCCTATTCTGGCTCTTGGTGTCTGAGTACTGTCACTCGAGTTTGACAGAGTCTTCACAGACATCCTGGGCCTGCCCCTGGTTCGTCGCTGCGGTCTCTTCTTGACTCACCACTTGCCCCCCCCCCTTGTGGCTCACGCTTCTTCTTTTTTCTCGTTTTCCCAGGAACTGGCTGTCTTGTCAAGGCGGTGGAGACGGCAGCGGAGCGGGAAGCCTTCGTCATTGGGAAGCCCAGCCGCTACATCTTCGACTGCGTGGTCAGTGAATTCAACATCGACCCGGCTCGCACGATCATGGTTGGCGACCGCCTGGATACAGACATCCTCATGGGCAACACCTGCGGCCTGACCACCCTTCTGACCCTCACAGGGGTCTCCACCCTCGAAGAAGTGCAAGGCCACTTAGAGAGCAGCTGCCCTGAGCGGAGAAGCCTAGTCCCCGACTACTATGTGGATAGCATAGCCGACCTTCTCCCTGCTCTCCAGGATTAGAAAAAGGGAAGCTTTCCGCAGTTTGAAAGGTATCTCCCCCACCCCCTCCGTATCTCGAGGCTGGTAGAGTCACAGGGCCTCGGTCTACGGCAATGCACATCACTGTTGCTTGCACCTTAAAAATGCTTTTACTGTGCAACTTTTATCTCGAATTCTCTGTTTACAAATTCCTTGAGGAATGCACTTTGAAACAAAGAGGGAAGTGTGTTGCATTAGTCAGCTTACAGACGCCGTAAAGCATCAGGCATGCTTGAGAAGTGTCTGCAGTGCTAAGGTATCAGGGTAGAGCCTTGCTCAGCTGATTCGCAGGAGAATGGGCAGGGTTCCGTTAACACCTTGCACTGTTGTCTCTTGTCGCCTAGTCTTTTAAAAAATTCAGGGAACAGGGCTGTTGGCTAGTCCCTAGAACATGGCTCATAAAGCTTGGTCTTTGTGCTTGCTCAGGTCCGGTTCTAGAAGGCATGATCCAGAGGTGATGTCAGGGAAAAGGAAATCACCCGTGTGTCCTGTGGTGTTGTTGTGATCCCTCGTTCCCCACACTGCCATTTGCACATACTCGATATGCAAAACGTGAGCGATACCGTAGTGTTTCATGTATTTCTCTGAGATAGTAAATGAATGTATATATTGGTGTGTGCAGAAGTTTGGATATCTATTTTAAGGGAGAATTCTAATATATTGAATATAGGTTTTATCAGTCAGTCAGAAGGGATATAAAACATTTGATTTCTAAAGGATCTTCCTCGCATTTTTCCGTACATACCGTAGACATACCAGCATGATCTACAGGATTTAGCACCATTTTGGTTTGGCCGATGATTCTCAAATTGTAACGATGCCCGAGTTATTTCCTTCATACCCAGACTAAAACTGCCGTGGTCACCTACAGCTCACATTGATGGGAACAACTCTTAGATATCAGAGCGACTAGCTAGCCTAAGTTGTCCTTTTAAAGGGGTTCCTCTGGCAGACTGAGGCATAACTTTGTTCTGAAGCCATTTTGGGCATAACTTTGCACAGCTCTTCCTGTTGAAATCTTACTTGTGAGTTGGTGGGAGAGCCCAAGAAGAACTGTCTTGCAGATCTGTCTTGTTGAAAATAGAAGTTTACTATTTTGCTTTGCAAGTTTTGCAGTAATTATGAGGAATTGAGGAGTTTTCAGGTGTCCAGATAGTTTTGCTCCTGTTGTGCTCAAAGTCAATGCTTTAATCAGTTGGGTGCACCGATGAAAAGATTTAAATGCAAAAGCATGCACCTAGCAGCCAAGAGAGGACGCCTCACTTTTATCCAAATAACTCTGATTTCCTATGCAGGTGACACTTCTGATACTGCAGACACTTGAAACATGTTCAAACTTGGTAATTCTTCATAAAGCAATAATTGTGTTGTCCATACTGGAAAATAACATTTTGCTTATAAGTTAGAGCCATCATTTGTATTTCTCTGGATTCCCTAAGGTGCTGAGTGCTACCTGCTGCTCCATGTAATCTGCCTCCAGGCAGAGAGCTTTTTCATTTTTGGGCTTACCACACTTGCCGTTTGTAAACCTGAATGTTCTTTACCACTTCTGCTAATGTCAACTGTGTGTGTCTGCTTGGACTGACTTGAAAATAGATGATGTCTTTTGCCTGGGACTTGTATCCCTAGAGTTCTGGGGTGATTGAAAAAGATGTGAAGTATGTTTAGACCATTTCAACATCTGTTTAGACGTGCTTGCCACAGAGCAGACCCATCTTTACTGTTCACTGTACTTATTCACATTGTGAAATGTCGCTAGCAGTCTCTGTAAAACAGCTAGACAACTTCAATCCTATGATTCAGTCCTATACTTCACTCACATTAAAAAGAAGTCTTGCTGCTTTCTTACGTTTCTCGTCTTTTCATTTAACATCTTTTGAACATAATTCATCCCAAAGGATGTTGGTTATTGGTTTGTCTGTGAGTATATTATGCATATATCCCATATACTTGCAGGTTCTGATCAGTCTTTCTCGGTGTGCTCTGTTTTCCCCACTGATGTAGGATTTAGGGAGGGGAAGAAATGGAACTGTAACATTTCTCAGACATTTAATAAATAAAATAAGTTTTGATTTAGATTTTGTGAACAAAAGGTTACATAGTTAATGTTACACGCTGCATAAATGTGTCAGATTTCTTTTGCTGTTTGGACGGAAGTAATTAGTGTAAATGTTTTAAGTGACACAAATTCAACACCTTGCAAGTTGGTAACATTGTTGTGTTTCAAAAAGAAACGAACGAAAGCCCAAGAAACTGTTGCTAACTACCCATACGAGCAACAACAACTTAAACTATGCCAAGGATTAGTTTCCTGTCCTTAGTTGCCCGTTTGGCCAAGATGGAGCCGGGAGTGGCCGCAAGGGTCCAAAGGAAGGGTAAAGGTGGCTGCCCTTGAACAAACCACAAAGGAGCAAGGGGGAAAGTGCACACTTTGTGTGGAAAAGCCAACCCATAACCTCCTTCCGCATTTGAAATCCATTTCTTCTCAAGCCTTGGACTTCCTATTCTGAGCTGTAGTTCTGTTACCTGTTTCAGAGTCAGTGTTCTGGCTTTCTTGTTGCTGTTCTACGGCATTAGAAAAGGAACAGAATGAAAATGTGCCCAGCTTCTACCTGGAGGCATGAAGTGTATGAATAGACCTGCCTGAATCCTGAGAATCTGACATAAAAGCATTCTTCTGTCTCCCTCACTTTTTTTTTGTCTCGCAGAACAAGGTTGGAAGGCCGTGTGATCTTTTGCCAGACAAAATAGCTTGGAAGCAAAAGATGGCAGGTGTTCCATCAAAGGATGAGAAATGATAATAACCGGTCATCTTGATCTTGGCCCAAATCGTAGACGGCCTGCCATGGAAATTCCTGAGACTTCTGGCCAGAAAGGTGTGCTGCGTGCCTTCACCTAAACCTTTGCTAGGTATTCTGGCAGAGATTTGAATCATGGGTAATAATCTCCTTTGAAGGATAACAATGGAACTTGGTTTCCATTGAGCTCTGTGTCTCCAATGAGAGGTGACCTGGAATGTTGGCTAATCTGTACGATCATGAGCAGACAAGATTTTGGTGGGTCGTGGGGCTAATTTTCTGCTCCTGGAATCTTTTGAAGGCTTCACAAACAACCTTAAAATGTCCTGCAATAACCTTTAGAAATCCGCATCTAGTTTTGCAAAATCGGAATAGCAGGGTGCTAAAGCAGTGCAAAGGGAACCGTGTTAGCTATTTAAAAGGTGAATTGCAAGGTCCCGGAAAAAGGAGGGTCCCGAGGAGATCTGGAACCCCCATGGAAACAGTTAGTGGGATGCTGCAGGTAGATTCAGAGCCTCTCATATAGCCATGAACGCAAGGAGCAGAGACTGGATAGGAAGAATGCTGGAGGCAGAATGGGAAGGAGCCCCAAATGGCAGGTTATTGGGATGAGAGAGGTCCATTTTCCTTCCCTTCTGGGCCAAAGCATTTGGAGAAGGACCCCAGCTTTCATAAATGGCTGATTTCCTGAAATAATTGGTTGGCCATGGAGATTATTTTTATTTTGATTGGATATGTATTTAAAAAATAAAATCTTTTGGGTTTTTTGTTTTGTTTTTTACTGTGGAGTGATTATTCTCTCTCTCCCCCACCCACCCCAGTTTTAAAACTCTTTTTTACTTCCTCCACACAAGGGAGCAAGGATGTCTGACCGTAGTCGGGGCCAGTGCCAACATGCGAAGCCCAACACAAAGCCCCAGTTGTGTTCCTTGTGAATGCCTTGGCTGTCTCACAAAGAGGGACAGGGCAGACATCAACTTAACCAGGACATCATCTTTCCACAGAAGTCCCCCCCTTCTCCCTCCCACCACTTAGGGCATCTACAATTTCACCTCCGCGTGTCTTTCTCCAAGGTGAGGTGGCAGGGTGTGCCATTTACCCTGCCCACCTGGGCAAAACGCTCAGGTTTCCAGCCGGACCTTGAGGTCTGTAAAGATGCACAACCTCTGCATTGTCAGAAGGCAGATCTGGAAGAGCAAGGGTTGCATCAACGATGGAAGAGCACACTGGGGGCCCCACCACTCCCTCGCCAGTAAGTACACTGCCCTTCTTCTCCTCCACCCCTCTTCTTGGCACCTGCAGTATATATGCCCTTACTTTCTTCACGTCTACATTACTTCCCCCCCCCCTTTTTTTAAACTTCACAAGTGGTGCTTTTACAAGCAAATTTCCCAATTAACTGTGTGCCCTTCCGTGTTCACCATCAGTCAGCCAGGCTTTTTTAAAAAACAGCTTTTTTGTTGGGTGACTTCTAGGGTATTTTCTGGAAGTTCCAGCATATGAAGGGTTGGCAGAAGAATTAGGAGTTTTTGGATTTCCTGAACCCACAAAGAATCCCAGTGCCTTTTCTGAATGGGGAAACCAGGCTATGAACGGACGTGCTATCTCTGTTTTTCGGCTGACTGAGAAAGAAGTGGGACTTTTAAAAAAAATGCTGATAGTATATTTCAGTCAAGTAATGAGAAAGCAAAGATAGTTGGAGGTAAAAGAAATGGATGAAAAGCCGTAGACTGACTTCGGTGCAGCGCTTGCGTCCAAACTGTCCCTTGTTCATTTGTTGCATCTTTAGAGCTGCAAGAGGAAACAAACAAGATCTAAAGTCAAAAGAATAAATAAATAATAAATAAAATAATCCTCTTGATGGCATTCAACCTCCAGTAGGAGAAAAATGAGAGTTAAGGCTGAGCTCTGTACGTTTAGACACTAACAGAAATCTTGAATTGACACAGAGAGGCGAAGCACAGTGTGCGACTGGAATTATTTTAGTCGAAAAGCCATCTAAACCATTTAGATTTTAATTTTTTTCCTATGCTAATGATTCCAGATAAAAATGGTAGGAGATCAGGGTATCTTCTGTTCTTGAGATCCACGTGCTTTCACACGGCGGTGTTTAATTTTGAACACCAAAATGAGTTGATCAAATAGCTTCTAGAGAAATGTGGGCAATATCCGTGGAATTGCCGTGGCTTGTGGTCAAGGAGTTGAAATCGGTTTCACACCTGGCCTTATGCAGTAGGTGAAATAGTCAACAGCTGATAGAGTACAACATGGCTTTAGGGAGACTTTAATGTTTTTCCACCAATATTTCATGAACTCTGGATCCCTTATACTACATAACCATGTCTCCCACCCACATCAAGGACTTCCAGGTTGAAGTTTCCATTTGCTCTTTAACATGAATTTGGTCTTTGCTTCTTTCTTTTTTAAAAATCTGAAGCAACTAAGGCAGAGAGGAAAGGGGCCCCGTTTTTTAACTTTGCTTGCTGTGGCTGGCTGACTCTCCCCGTGGTGCCTTTGACTGGTGTGGTTTACTTTGGCTCTTAGGAGAAGGTTTCTACAGGGAAATCTAGAAGTCCTTCTAGGTTATCTCGGATCATCCTCTCTGTCGTTTTGGCCTGTGGAACCGTCTGCATCATTTTGGCAGCCGCTCTCGGCTTCCCCCATACCTCACCCAAGGTAAGCGCTCCGTTCCACCCTGACCCCCACCCCCGTTCGCCAGTCTTTAATGTAAATCGCTTTTATTGCCTTGTTTCTGCATTGTTAATACTTGATTTGTGTTATATTTCTTGATTCTTACTCTGTTGGAATTATTTTTACCTTCCTGTGCCCTTTTGAGATTTACATACAGAGCAGCCAAAAATTAATTCTAAACAGGCATAATAAACTGCTACAAATGCCCTCCCCCAGTGCCCCCCAAAGGTGGCTAAAAATGATCCGGGGGTGGGGGGAGAGGGAGGAAATTCATAGGCTTTCTCTTAATGGAGTAAAGTGAATATGCTCTGGTACCATTCCCGAATTCCTAGGTTTACTCTGTACTCAGAGCTCTGCCCCTTTCCTTACACTCTGTGTTACGTCCACTGGCCTGAGCCACAAACTTCCACCTGGCTCTTTTTCTGGTTAAGATAGGAAGGTCCCGCTTGCCTAGCCTGAGGTTTGCCCACATTGGCCCTGGTTCAGCCAGCCATTTGCAACAAAAAGCCCCTGGGAATATCTCTGCAGCAGATCATGCGTATAAGGGGGGTCCTTCCTTTTTGTTTATTTGCTCATTTTCCTCTGTGGTTGAGAACCTTTTGCCTTCCAGATATTCCCGGGCTGCAGCTTGATTGCACTGCATTAAGTTAGCTGAGGTCAGAACCTTAATTCAATCCTGGAGGCTGAAATATAGAAGATGCGAACCTTTGCAGCCAAAAAGTGGTGCACCTCACCTGTTGGTATTTGGCACTGGGAGAGTGCAGATCTGCCACCACTTCCCAAGCAGATATGCCACTCTCCCCAGGCAGAAGAACCCTTAACGGGCCACTGCAGGCTCAGATTCGGGCACCTTTCTCCATCGGTTTCCTGTGCTGAAGGACTCCAGGGCTTCACCCTGTTTTTGCCCAGTGAATGCTTCCTTTTTCCCCTTGGTGGTTTACCTGCCTTCTAAGCCCGGTGGAGAAAGGGATTCCTCTTGCAGTGCTTGATTGACGGGGTGGGTGGGTGGGGGCATCTCTTGGTCCCCCTGCCCCCAGTTGTGTTCCCACGGTGGGTCTTTGCAGCCTCTGTTGCAGGTGGTGCGGTTCAACTTTCAGAGCCAGCCGGGCTCCCAGGTGAACCAGTCGGCCTTTGTGAACAAGCACAAGAATACGGTGACCTATTACGTCACTTCGCCCAATAACCAAACTTCGTCGGTCCTCTTTGACAGCAAGAACGTGAGTGTGGCGGCTGCAGCTGCGGCTTTTCCTCGCCGTAGAGGGTCAGAGCGGGTGTGCCAGGCGGGGCTGTTCCGGATGGGGAGGAGAGGAGGTCGGGGTTGGGCTTCTGTAAAAGCTTGAGGCCGACTGGACTTCTCCACGCAGGGTTACATCTGTTACAAGCCCTTTGGACGAAACAGCTGCTACCTGAGGATGATGGATGCCTGGGACCACAAAGCCGTAGAGATGGTCTTCAACCTGTCGGACCACAGGGTGAGCCGCTAGAGGGCACAGCCTCTGTGGGATCCTCCCTCACCCTCTTCCCCCAAGGAGGAGGTGTTCTTGTGGTTATCAAGGGAGCGGAGCCAGGCCCCTGCTTTCCCTTCTGTGGGGCAGGAGATAATCACCTTTCCCTCAAGCCAGGCGTGCCAGCGTCACTTAGAACGAGGTTGTTCGTGGAGGCGGCACTGGAGAGAGGTTGTCTGTCACCTGCTGCCGGACAGATCCCACGAAGGTCAGGGGTTAGTTGGACAGCCAACAGCAGCCAAGGAGCTGGGAGCCCATTTCCTGCCCCCAGGAACCCCTGCAGGCCACACTAGCCCTAAAAACAGGCCAGAGGAAGACCAGCTGCTCCTTTTTGGAACCCTACTCCCAAGTTTTTCTTTCCTGGTTTAGAGTCTGCGGAGAAGGTTTGGGATCCCGCTTGCCCCAGTGTGTTGTAAAATGACCGGTGGGGAAGATGTGTTCTTATGGGGGGGTGGGGGAGGTACAAGGGATGCTTGACGTCCCCAAAGAGGCCACAGTGAGCCTCAGAAGCTGCCTTGGACTGAATCGGAGGATTGTTGCTTCTCTCCGAAGGCCACCCCTGCCTCTCTCTCAGGGGCAGAGCTGGCCTGAGCAGTGGCCAAGAACCCTGGACTCGATGGAGGGCGGCTGGACCCAGCCAGGCAATTCCTTAAAACATTTCTCCTCCAACGGTGCTCCTCAAGGGGTGCTTGACGTCCCCAAAGAGGCCACGGTGAGTCTCAGAAGCTGCCTTGGACTGAATTGGAGGATTGTTGCTTCTCTCCAACCCTTCCGGATCTTTTCTAGTCCCGTTATCCGACACCCCTGCTGGCTAGAGAGATGGTGGGTTGAAGAACCAGGGGGTGTTGGCTACACCCAGCATCTGCTCTGGGGCACAGCTCGGTGGAGGGAGGGTCTGTGCGCTTCGGTGTGCTGTGGTGAACTGGAGCTGTCTTAGGCTAGGAGTGTAAGACACCCCCCCCCACTCCAAGAACAGGATTGCAGGGATCCCAAAATACCTATTTTTAAAAAACTGGAGTATCCTCTACTGGAGGGTCTCTGGGGGGCTTGGGTATGTGTGTGTGTTGAACTTTGAGCATCTCATGTAGTCCCTGAAGACCTCAGCAGCAGAAGATTGTACCCCAGACCCACCCAAGTAGCCCCTGTGGCTGGCTTACCCTCGTTAGCTTCCTAAATAAACAGTGGCCATTCAAAAAACAGAGACACAGAGGAGATGAAAGGTCGTGGAAATTCCAGGAAGGTGAGCAGACAAAGGTGCCTTTGTTGCTCTCCATCTCGCGTTCCCAAAGGTCTGACTAACGATGTATGACAGCCCTTGAGACAAAACGTTAATGGCATTTAATGGTCCTGTTGAGGTGGAGGGCAGAGGTTTGGTTTCAGAAAGACAGAAAGAAGGCTCTGTTTGCTGAGAGTGCCAGGACAGAGCCAGGGCAGGGATGGAGGTTGGCTGTACAGCTCCCGGATCCATTTAGCAGGTCAGTTCTTGCCAGTTCTGTTCAAGCTTCCCCAGAACATGGAAGAAAATCTGCCAGAAACCCTGCTCTGCCGGCGGTCGTGGCACACCTACCGGCAGTGGGGAAGCAGTCGCTTCCTTCCTGGCTCTGCAAGGCCACTGGGATGTGGCCCCAGCAGGACGAAACAGCAGCTTGCACCCCCTTGCCGGTAGGCGCACGCACCCCTTGGTGGCACCGGGGCCCTGCTGTGCCCAGGAAAGGAAGGTAAGAAGAGTCTCCCAGCTGGCTGGCCAAGGCCCCAAGACTGGTGTGCTGGCCGTGGGGCTCTTGCAGGGGCCCCATGCCGTTCCCTTTTCCTTTCCAGGTGGATCTGTTGCCCCCTCCCAACAACAGGACCCAGTACTACCGGGAGTTCCTGGCCGTCGTGCCTGGGAGACAGGTGCGGCCAGAGGATGCGGGAGAGGCCGCTCGGGCCTTGTGTGAGCAGGCGCCCATCTACTGGGTCAAGAAGAAAGAGGGTAAGCCGGACGGGAGGACAGCCAGCAGGAACCCCACATCTTCTCGGAGGGGGGGGGGCATTCACAGCCTGGCTTGGGTTCTCTTGCAAGCCTCAGCCACAGGAACTCCACTGCATTTTATCCTGCTGGAACATCCAGGGTAGTTTCGGCTGAGCTTTGACTTGAGAATGGCGTTCCCTTGCCTCTCAAGCAGCCGAGCTGCTTGACCGAAAGGCTGGGTCAAACCAGACGTTCAGTGGTTTCATGGGGGCAGGCAGGAAGGCTAAATCCAAGTGTGCTTTCCACTTAAGAGTTGGCCCACTCGCAGCCCTTCCAATTCAGCGAATCTACTCCAGATGGGGAGTTCTGCTCTTAAGAGTGACCCCAATTCATAGAAGCCCACCGGTCACTGCAGCCTTCAGCCGGCCCTGCCCTGTCAGGTACATAAATGAGGAACAAGGAGAGGGCCGTCGGCTCCGATTAAGCATTTCCAGCCGTGCCTGCATTAAACGGCCACTTCTCCGGATCCTGGTTGTGAACAGCCTGTCAGTCGGCAGTCTCCCCCTCTCCTCCCAGCCTGTGTTTAAAGCCGAGCTGCTTGACCGAAAGGCTGGCTCCCTCTAAAAGGCGTCCTCTTCCTCCCCCCCACCTGTTCCTCTTGCAGGGCCTCCAAAGCAGCGCCTCATCTACCTGTGTGTCGACATCTGCTTCCCGAGCAACATTTGTATCTCCATCTGTTTCTACTACCTTCCCGAGTGAGAGGCCTGGAAGCTCGATCGCTCTCTCCCCCCCCCAGCTCAGCCTGCCTCAGCGCTTCTGTACTTGAATTCGTCAGGGGGTGGGTGGGGTGGGCCCGGTTTTCTCCCCACCACCCCCTCCCCCAAAGCAGCTCCCGTGGGGCCTCTTTGGACACAGGGCCCTGGCTCCAGCCGGAAGGGCAGGTATTCCACCCCGTCCACAGCCCGATTGCAGTCTCATCCGTATCTACCTTTTATTTCCAAAAAGCGTCACCACGCCTCTTGTAAATAAGTAGCTGCACAGGGTAGAGAAGATCCACTTAAGTGCATGTTATGTACACGCGTTGTGTTAAACGAAAAACCAATTTTTTAAAAAAAACCTCAAAACATTTTATACAAGGTTAGCCAACCTGATGTGATATTCAGTAAAAGCATAAAGGGAGAAAGTGAGACCGTGAAAGTGTGGTGTGTTGAGCGTCGGTGAGAAATCAGCAGCCTCTCCCCTGGTTGTGACCGTCGCAGACTTTCTTCTGAACCTTTGGAAAGGGAATTAAGATGGGCCAGAGATTTGCCACAAGCAGGAGGTCTCTCAAACATCGGCCAGGCCTTTTTGTAGCCAGTCCAGTCCAGTGGGAGAAGCTCACCGCTGTGAGTCAGTGAGAGAAAGAGAACAGGTGGAACTAAAGAAGGGAACAAAACTTGCCCCCCTCCCCAAAAAGAGCGACATTCAGAGTGGGGAGAGCGATGACCCGTGAGCCTGGCGGTGACCCCCTACTCCTTCCCACCCCTTCCCGTCTCTGGTCAGTCCGGGGATGCCTTCAACCAATTCAAATAGCAGGTGAGGTGGAAGGTCAGCTGTGATCGGCTTGGGGGGGGGGGTGCCTTCAACCAATTCAAATAGCAGATGAAGTGGAAGGTCAGCTGCATGTTTCGCATCCTTTCCCCCGCCAGGCAAAGGGTCCAGACAGCCCCCATCACATTAAGTCCGTTTTTTCTAGATTCAGCTTCACCCCACTGAGGAAGCTGGGGGAGAGCCAGCCCCACAGAACATGGCAGCCCCCCCACCGCTTGCATGGAAGGTGTCGGGAGGCCTCCCCTGTTTGCAGATCACCCCCCCCTCCGCCCCTGCCGCCGAGGCCTCAGCCCAAGACGCTGTCGTTGAAGGCGAGGCAGACAACCGCTTTCTGGTGGCCACTGTATTCCCTCTTGATCTCGCCGGTTTCCACGCACCACAGTCTGGCCAGGTTATCTGAAGAGGCTGGAAAGAGACAGGGAGAGAGTGACCGGCCGGACAGAGGCTTAGCAGGGCCAGGGATGGCCCCTTTTAGTTCAAAGACATCCCAGGGCAGAAAGGGCCAAGGTCCTCTCTGCAAGGGGGCCTCTGGCCTTTCCCCCTCCCTCACCCCACAGCAGCAAGAAAGAGGTAACTCTCAGCCCTCCTTACAAGGTGCAGGGCTACCACGTGAGGCATTTGAGGTGAACCAAGAGGGCCTGCAATTCTTATGTATCATTGCCAGGATCCTGTTTGCAATTGGCAAGTTACACAGGCCAGCAACTGGCCCATTGCAGCTAACGAGGCTCATACGAGGTGCTCGGTACTTCGTGGAGCAAACGTAGAAGGCGGACAGCCTGTTGCGTGCGAGACCATTGTCCCTGCAGACCAGGCGAAGAGAACCGGGGCCGGTGGGTTGGGGTGGAACTGGCTGTGTTGTCTGAATATTCTGCTTAAAAGGCAGGCACACCTCGGGGGCACCCTCTCTCTCACCTGTGACAATGTACTGAGAGTCTCCCGAAAAAGCGCAGTCCCACATCCACCCACGAGAGGTCTCCCCCGGGTTGTTGCTCTTGATGCTCAACTCAGTCATGAGAGAGAAGTTGGACGTCCGCCAGATCTTGCAAGTCTGGTCGGCAGAGCAGGTCGCCAACAGCCTGGAGCGGAAGGGAAGGAGGACAGAACGGCCGTTGACTTCTCGCTCAAGAGAGCTGAGGATTTAAAATGCCCTCCCCCTGAAAATCAGGTGTAGAGAACTGCCCAGAGGTTGAAGGTTCCTATCCATACAGAGAAAAGGCTGCAACAGGGCTTCTATCTAGCAGTCCCCAGCCGCGTTCCTCAGGCAGGGGGGATCGGTGCTCTCTGGCAATCCCAGGAAATGAACAGGGGACAGAGCGAGAAACACTGGGAGCAATCCCCTGACGTTTGATCTGTCGTCCTAGGAGAGCAGATGGGTCATGACTGGGGGCAAGGGATGCCTGCCCCAAATTTTGGGGGGGGTAACACGCCCACCTGGCTCAGTCTACCAGCCATTCTGGCCACCTCGAACTATCCCCCATGCTAGAGCACGTGTTCTGTCCATCAAAGGCCCCACGTTCAATCTCTGGTACCTTCAGGTGGACCCTGAGTGGGGGGAATTTCTAGGTTTTCTCCCCGTTCCCCCAAACTGGAAGCTATGAACTTTTGGCCTCTGTTCCTGCTCAAGCCACCCTTGCAGAGGCTTCAGGGGGAGAGAATTCCTCTTCGTCCAGGCCTGAGCCAACAGACAGGCCTACTCACGTGGAGTCGGGGCTGAACTTGCACTGCAGGGCATAGCGATTGTGCGCGGGGATCTTGGTCTTCGGAATGAGCTGCGTCACCTCGTCTCCAATGCCGCCGGTCAGATTCCACACGTAGCAGTTCCCCTGCGAGAGGAGGGGGGGAAAGGCAACGCCTGAAAAGCCGCCCCCCCCCTGCTCCCAGCACAGGCTTCCCCAGCCGGGGTTCCTCTGGAGAAGCAACAGGGAGGCGGCCCAAGGGCAGCCCTTACCGAACTGTTGACGGCAGCCATGTAGCTGGCATCCGGGTCGATATGAACGGAGTTGACGGAGACCTCGGGCTCCGGGATGAGCTGCTCGTTGTGGTCCGTCTTCAGGTCCCAGATGTGGATGGCGCCGCTCTGGTCGCCGACAATAAGCTCTGCCTACGTGGAGAGAAGCGTTTCCGTGGCACCAGTTCCTCAAGCACCACCACCAGACACACACAGACACACAGACGCCCTCCTCCCTGCGACCCTTCGGGAAGAGGAGGAGGAGGAGGAGGAAAGGGGAGAGACACCCAGTGGGCGGAAGGGCCGCCAAATCTACCTGGTTGGGGTGCAAGCACACACAGTTGATGGGGGCGTTCACTTGGAAAATGCGCTGGCACTGAAGGTTGCGTGACCTGGAAAGAGAAAAGAGAGGAGGAGGAGATGATGGAAGCAAACACAAGACTAACCCACTCGTGGATGTGGGCTCCTTTTGCTCCAGGGAGCTCTGAACAGCTCTGCGGAAACGAAGGGTTCAGTTCATCAGGAATGGAGGCCTATTCAATCCCGACCTTCCTGTATTTTTAATGTACTTTCCAGACTAAACTATTTTTAAAGAAGCTTTCCTGTTCGTCCCAACCCTCGATACCGTGTTTGTACATCGTGCCCAGACTTGGTGGAATATGCCCTCCATATGCATAACCCTTTCTCAATGCTCCACATCAAGTAAATTCTCCCTATAAGCAAAAACGACGGCATTTATTGTATTTTGGGCCCATCACGAGGTGATAAAACCCACTGGAAAAGACAGGCATGCTGGGAAAAGCTGAAGGTAGTAAGTAGGAGAAGAGGGAGACCCAGTAAGAGATGGACTGAAAGGAATCCACAGACTTAAATTTGCAAGACCTGTGCAATGCGCTTGCTGACAGGACTTTTCGGAGGCCATTCATTCATAGGGTTGCCGTAAATTGGAAGCGATTTTAATGGCACGTTACAACACCACGTTTAGCTTTGCACCTTTTCCTTGTAGGCTGTCAGCCCACGTAATAACTGCCAGTGGATTTCCCAATAAATCTCAGCCAGATTTGGGATGATTCAAGCCAGTCAAGACCAAGAGGCAAACCTGAGGTCCCAGATGCGGGCCATGTAGTCTTCGCCCCCTGTGTACATCCACCGCCCGTCTTCATGGAACCCGACCGAGGTTATGTTCTTACTCACGCCGTCGTAGTTGATCACAGGGTTGGGGTTATTGGAGTTCAGGTCGTACATTCGAATGTGCTGGTAGCCTGAAGGAAAGGATGCCAACGAACCCGTAAGAAAGCATGGAATGGATTTATTGAAAATGGCATCGAGACCGGGGGGAAAAAGCTCCCGGAGCAGTTGTGCCCCCCAGTAGGTGGGAGAGGCTGCTTTTTGTGAAAGAAAACAATGAGCCAAGAGCCAAACAGACAGTGAACCGGCAGCCAGCTTCAACACCACCACCAAGCAATACCTTGATCTTTTCCCAGCTACTTTTTTTTGTACCCCTGCCCTGATGAAACCGGCTTCTCTGGGTGACCCCATTCCTGCTGCCAACTGGGAACGCTCCTGTCTCTCCATCCCGGTGCCTCATTGGAACAGCGGCCCTGACGCCGGGAGGCCAGAGACAGGTGGGGCACCAGCAAGAACAGGAAGGAGGGCTGGTCTCGGGTGCCCAGGCCATGCACGGGCAGGGAAATCCAGGGCAAACCATTGCAAGGGTTGGGACTCAAGGGCGTCTCTCCCTAAAGGACGTTCACCATGATGAGGTGAGGTGACAGCCATAGGCAGCCGCTCCTCCTCCTGTCCCTGTGGACCTGACGCCTCCCTTGGCTAAAGGTTTTGGCAAGCCTTAAGCAGTCGCATCAGCGAACAAAGGGGCAACCCACCCAAACTTTGGAAAGGGAAGAGGAAAACCTTCTGCGTAGAACGGGGACATTTCCGGCTACATCAAAGGAGGAGGCGAGCCCCATCCTGGGATTCCCTCTGGCCTGGAAACAATCCTCCCACTTCCGCAAGGGTCTCTTGGGATGGGGCAGTTCTAGGAGAGCAAAGGAACTTTCCCCCTCCTCTCCGTACGGATTTCCTCGGAGAACCTACGGCTTCCTTGGCAAAAGAACAAATGAAGAAGCTGTCCGTGTGTGAAAGGCATTCGTGCCGGAGGGGCAGCAGAAGGGCAGCCCCGAGCCCTCCCCAGCGGGCACCCTTACCTGCCGCTGCGATCATGGTGCGGTCCGGGGTGATCTCCAGGGCGTTGACCTGCTGGCCAAGGCAGTTAAGGGAAAAACACAACAAAACACAGTAGCCACACCTCATGGAAACCCAAGGAAGGCCCTTCCGGCAGAAGGCCCTTTCCTCAACGGGCCCTGTTCATGCCTCCAAAGGATACCGAGTCTTGGTGCTGGACCGTCCGGGTGCAAATCCCACTGTGGGCCTGCCAGAACCGGACGGTGTGATCGTAGCCGGCCGTGGCCAGGATGACCGGGTCGCTGCCCACGGTGCCTTGGGCCATGTTCATGGTTCCGGGTCCTGCAAGTCCAAGGCAACAAACACAAGGGCGCCTCCCGCGTCAGAGGGTTGTCCCTGAGGAGCCGCCCGGTCGCTTCCCCCAAAGGCTGCAAACGTAGGCCTCTGGTGCCTTCTTCTGTGCAAAGGGACACTTGTCCACGACCAGGCTGGCCCCTTGGGCTGCGCCCCGGAGAAGGGAGCCACCAGAATCCGAAACACACTTGGTGCGTCTGTGCAAACCGGCAGAGGGCTGGCGCCCGGCGTGTTATTTGCATGGGACCGTGGGCAAAAGGGGAGTCGCTGGCCTGGGGAAACTGGGTGGGATGGGATCCTGACCACGTAGGAGCCAGGTGTTTCTCTGGCACTGCTAACACACCTGGCCCTTTCCAAACGAACACAAAGGAAAGACCTCCCAGGGTGGCCATGAGGGTAACATGCAAGACACGGGGGAAGAACCAACCCCCCCACAAGAGGGCTCTGAGCTGTTTCAAAGAGAAGGAGCCGGGAGCCTCAAAACTGAACGAAGGCATCCATAAGAGGTGGAAGGAGGAGAGGCCAAGGACCAGCCAAGGGGGGAAAGAAGGCCAGCTCTGCATCTATTCCGGTGCTAAAATAAATACACTCGTGCTTGAATAAATAAATAAATAAATACTGTTTGCTGGCGTGCTTGAAGGGGGTGGGTTGCAATCCCCTCCAAGGGGCGGCAGGCACAGCTTGGAACCATTCCTGGCGGGTGGGAAGGTTGACAACAACTCCCAGAATCCGTGAACCAGGGGGATTCTGGGGTGTGTAGTCCAAAGCGCAGCGGTTCCCACAAGGGCGGTGTGCATAAATGCAAACCGAGGGCTGCACGAAGGATGCAAAACGCCCCTGCCCCCTGGGACTACAAATCCCATGCTGGCTGGGGATGCTGGGAGTTGTCATTCCCCCCCTCCCAAGGACTTTTTTCCCCCCTGATCTTTGGGACCGCCTACCAGTCGACATTTCTGCATTCACTGCAGAACCCCGTTCCCTCCTCCCGGGGGCCCCGATCCCAATCACTGCCATGGGGTGGAAGGAGGAGAAAACGTACCTCCAGGAACAGGCGGAGAGGAAAGGCAGGGAGCGATGCAAAAGGCGCATGCGCAAGCCAGGCCAACCCTCCCTCGCCCCGAAACCCAGCCAGTACGCCTGCGTGGGTAGAAAGACTAGGACGCATGCGCGTAAGGTCTCACCCCTCTGCGGTTCTAGCCCTGCAGGAACGCTCTTTGCCGTAATAGACTTTCTATGATAGAGTTGCACACGGGAGGGCTAACTTCCGGGCTCCTTAGCGATGTTTTTTGTTTTGTGCCCTATCCGGGGGGGGCCGGCGGGGCGAAAAGGGGGGGCGAAAAGAGGTTTATTTCCCGCAGAAAACAAAAGGTAGGAGTTTTCAACTTCCCTCCTGTTGGGTAAGGACTTTGTTCTTCTTCCTTTTTTTGCACGTGTCTTGTTCCACGTGGGAAAGGGACCTTAGTGCAGTCTCGCCTGCAACATTCGGTGTGCGTGTGAATGCACGAGTGTATATGGCTGCGTTTCAATGGAACGGCCCTCCCCAGCCCCACCG